TTCCCAAACATCCTGGAGCCCCTCGTCTTCAATCCATCCCCTCAGCCATCTCCCAGTGCTATCCATCCCCATCTCAATCTGCCCACCCTCTTCAATAATGCAATTAAAATCCCCCAACACAATCCATGGTCCTCCACCTCCCACATACATCCCCATTTTGTGAAAGAAGCACACCCTCTCCATTGAGGCATATACGTTATATCAACACATTCACACTGGGGTTCCTTGCACCTTCCCATCTCTAACCTGAAGACAGCTACTATGAAAGAGCCTGGATTGATAAGCTGATTGACATGGAAATCATTTACAGGTCAGACATTCATACCACTGATAAAGAGCATTTAAAATCTCTCTCAGATGCAAACAGAAATGCCAAACATCCAGCCAGCCTCTTAACCATAAGCAGGTGTTTCAGATGCTGGAAACAAGGGGGCTATTTACTTACTTATCCAGTTTGTGTATTTGTTCCTCATTATAGGCCAGCCCTAGGAAAAAAAAAATAGATATACATTGGTAACTTGCCAGGAAAATGTATCCAGAGCTTCTTCACTCACGGGCTGATAAATGGGAGCAATAAAGACGCCCAGCTCTATCGCAGCACCGTAAGGGATCACTCAGGAAGAATGATACAGCTAGGGTTTTCCAACAGAGCTGAAGTCAGCAGAAGTTAGATGCCTAATTCCCTGAGACCCCTTTAAAAAGCCTAGCTATCCTGCCACTATATGGGCAGCAGTAAGACACAGAAGATTAGCTATCATAAATAGATCTCACTCACCAGCAGCAACAAAGCACAGGCTGGCTCCATTTTCGTTCAGTACTCTGACTTTGCAAACACTAGACCTGTATCATTTAAGAAGGAGGCAGCGTGGCATAACAGAGGGCACCTAAAATGGGGGGCTGAAAACCTGCAAGCTTTAATCTGTGCCACAAGAGCAACTCACGACACAGTACAGTGCAGACCTGCCTTGATCTAGCTCTAAACAAGAAGCAGGATGCATTAGCCTAAGTGGAGCGCAGTGCTAATGTGGCTGCACTGCTCCTCGTATCTAAGCTCGATCATTTAGAGGTCTCCCAGGGATCTCTGCACAGCATTGCACTGTGCTAGATGCGGCTCTGTGCGTCTACACTAAGGCTGCCACCGCAACTGATGTGAAGATTAACTTGTCATCTTTGCCTGCAAAATGGAAATCGCATCCTATACCTTTCTCACGGGGTTATGAGGAGGATTAGACCTGCACAAATCAAGGCAAAGTGCTGTATAAATGGTGCAGTCTAGCCTGCACAGATTTGCCCTGGCATCAGCCAGGAAGGAGACAAGAACTTAAGTACTGGGTCAGACTAAGGACCATCTAGCCCAGTACACAGTAGCAGGAGTGGATGCTTTAAGGGAGAGCACTGAACCGGGTGCATCTAGAATGATCTGTCCACTATCAGACCCGCCCTGGCATCCACCATCATTGGTTTAGCACCCCTGCCTGTCGTTCTCTTCAATAGCTGCTAATAAATGTAGAGATGTCCCCTTAGCATAGACAGACAGAGCTGCTAAGAACTGAATCCCATCAGTGCATCTTCCAAGCAAATCCACTGAGGAAGAGCGGATCATGGTCTTGCTTCGCGCAGGGTGGACATGCCGCTCTTCCATTACTTCGCTACCCGGCTGCCTCAGAGCTGTGTGAAATGTGATATTGCAAACATGAGCTACTTACGCATGCATGCCCTGGCCTTCTTGAACTGCTTGTGTATGAGCTGCATCTTTTCAAGGCAGCACTCCATCTGCCGGATGCTGTGGAGTCAAGGTGGGAAGCTGGGCATGAGGCACGTTGGGATGGAAAGCAAGTGCCCAGTTAAACCCCACTGCAAGAGAGGGGCGAAGCCTGCAGAAACCTATTTCTCTGACACTGGAAAGGTGGTGTGGCCTAGGAGACAGCGCTAGGCTGGGACTTATCAGGCCTGTACTTCCTTCCCAGCTCTGCCACTGCTCTGGATGATTACCTTGGTCAAGTCACTTGCCCTCTCCACATCTCAGCTTTCCCAGTTGTATAAAAAAAAGGGGTATGGATTCAACCCCCCATCCCTTTTGTAAGGCACTTGGAGATCTACAGATCCCAGGTGCTAGGGATCACTCCCACTTCAGCAGGGCTCAGTGACCAGCGATGGGCGCCCGAGTAGAAAACCTCAAACTGAGTCATGAAAAAATGGGTATTTAGGGCCTCGTGTCCAAGAAAACAGCTTGGTTGTCAAACCTCCCCAGAGACCTGCTCCAGCGGCCTCACCACCACCCACACAGCCCCCCCAGTCTCCCGCTGACCTCATTGCCACCTACGGCCTTGCTCCTTTTTAGGTCTGGCCTTCTGCCCAGTCCTCCCCCAACACCGCCTGGGTGCTATAGCTGTTAATTCATTTGCTTGCAGTAGCTTCCTTTGCTCCATGCACCTCAGAGCTGCTTCCCTCCCAACCTCATGGTCTACCTTTCACTTATTATTGAATTCACCCACAAAGAACTGTGTGACACTTCCCGTGACAGACGCGCTGTAAAAACTAAGCTGCCTTATAAACTTGTCTCAGGATAAACAGCAAGTACCTGGAAACACACAGGCTTCTGGGTGCAGTCTAATCTGATGGCTCCACCTCCTCGAGAAAAAAAACTCAGGCCCTGGCTTTATGAACACCAGAAGACAGTCTCTAGCGCTCTATAATCCAGTGAACTGGCAGCCTCAATGCAAGTGTTAGGTAATAAAGATAAAGCATCCTTATGATCAAGAGAGCCTGGTAACTGACTGTCCAAATACAGCCCACTGCTCTATCACTTGGATGCAAGCTTCTCCTGGAAGTCGAGATTGAATTGTTCTCACAGCAGAAAGGGAAACCTGTTCCATATAAGCGCATCTGGCATTAAGTCAGCCCATCAGCAAGAGGAGCAAGGTTAAAAGGCAGCACAGACCAGTGGGTAGGGCTCGGGGCTGGGAGCCCAACAAGTCCTGGGATCTAATCTCAGTTCTGTCACCGACTCCATTCCACCTTTAGGGAACAGGGGGAGAATCAGGGAGGACTGCAAAAGCCCTGCTGAGAAATTTGGTGGTAGTTTTTAATGTTTTAAAATTCCCGCCCCCCCAAGTCTAAGGGATGACACTTTACCCAAGTGCTGAGATGCTCACAGAAGGAAATGCTGAAGTGCTGTGATCAGAACTACTGATCGCACCACGATTAATACGAATTACTTTGCACTTAAGTGCAAAGTATTGGCATACTGACAGCATACCGTAACGGTATATACAGTAAACCACCAACTTTAATTAGCACAAATGCAAATGCAGGGAATGTACTGCAGCTATCTCTGTCCATTTGTGTGCGTCTATGCAAACAGATGCCTATGAAAATGTTACGACACTTAAAAAAAAAAAAAAGCTTGCGCCACAAACCTTCTATCTTCTTGTGCCTGCCGCCGGTGATTTACCAGCTCAGATAAAATATCACCCAATGTCCCTTGATATTCAGAGATGCTGTGAGAGTACCTACAGAGGTCTTCAGTGACCTAGAGGATGAAGCGGGGAGATGGGGAGAAAGGTCCAGGTCAGGTACCACCATCGAAATCAGAGAAGGTACCAAACCCCATCCCCAGGGTGCTCTCAGCCCTGCTATCCGAGGCCCAAAACTGGATCTTTGTACTCACCGTTTGCAGCCTTGCTTTCACCTCAGCCAGGTCCTTCAGCTCTGGGTTCCCATTGCTTCCAGATACAGATTCATACCTGTTAGAGATGGGAAACCAAAGCTCATTAAAGAAGGGTGTGGATTCAGAGAGGCAAATATCATCTGCGCAAAGGAAAACCACGCTCTTAGGCTGGAAGCTTCAAAGGCACCTGGGGGACGGAGACATACAACTCCTACTGAAATTAATTGGAATCGTGCATCTGAACCAGCCCTAGCAGCTTTGAAAATATGAGCCTTGCAGCAATTCAAAGAATAATTAAAAAAAAAAAAAAAGCCACAACGATTTTTCACTAAATAGATGGTAGAACAAAGAGACAAGAACAAAATGACTGAGGGTGGGTTTTGGATTTCACTGGAGCGGCAGCAACAGTAATGGAGGCATTTGGTAGTTATTAGGATCACACAAGACTTCTCTGCAATTTGGTCCCTGATGAATGTTCCATTAATGGAGCCTCTTAAATGGAAATAGGAGACACTTCAGTATGAATAGTGTGGTCAGGCTGGATGCATTGCTCAGTGGAAATGCACCGTAATGGGCTAGGAGCCTATAGTTAGAGATGGCAGAAACCCATTAAATCATCCTGGTCCAACCCCCACAAGCAATGCAGAAATGCTCCTCACAGGAGACTCCCCAGGGCTTTGCACAGGCTGGTTCTAGAAGACGGGGGCTCTGGGATCCCACCCACTCCCTTGGGAAGAGCCCGTCCTGGTCTGACAGGCCTCGCCCTGGGGATTGCACTAATGGTACACTCCCGGTAGTGCCTATTTTGTCGATAATAAAGGTGAAGGCTGCTCTTTTCCACGCGCACCAAGACAGAGACTGTGGCACCGGTTTCTGCTTTCTCTCTCTGACTTCATGTCTGTGGCTACGATACGTTAGCTGTACCCTGTAATATTCAGTCTGGAAGATCCCAGAGCAGCAGCCAGGCAGCGGGAACTGCAGGCTCATACGAAACTGGAGACGAAGAATTAAAAATTGAAGCAAAAGGGTGGAAAACATGAACAAGCTACCATCCAGTTTGCTCATTCCTGCCCACCATCTATGGACAAGGAAAACCTTTCTGCTTTCCAGCTCTGGGTCTCCCTTCCACTGCGCCTCCATATTCTGGGGTATGGTGGCTACAAGCAACCTGCATGAAGCAAGACCGTAGTCACCCACTTAGGGAATATAATTATGCAGACTGGTGACAGACCCGGGTATATAACCCCCATCGCCTGCTTCCCAGGCAATGAAATCTCTGTCATAAGAGACCACTGCCAGAGTCTGCCTCGCAGAATGACTGGATCCAGGTCTCTGTGGGCTGCCAGGCACACTGCCAGCCAGCAGCAACCGTTTTGGTGATCTCAGCACAGACGACCAGGATCAAATGAGCCAGGGACTGAATCACTCTGAGCATCTGAGAGGAAGGCACATTAGCCAGCGGCTGCAGCGGTACGACCGCACGGTTTACCGTCTTCACCGTGCTCGTTTTGGGTATAACAAAAGACCTCACGCTCTCCAAGGCTGGCAGCCGAGTTCCCTGCTCAACAGCCCCTGGGATCTTGTGTTTTGACCCCATCCCTCCCGCTTCATTTGTTTGTCCAACGGGCCATTTGTCGCCATCTTGGCAGGGCCTGCTCACCCTCCTGGGGTTTAGATAAGCTGGTACCTTCCACCCATTGAGACGCCCCCAACAAATCTCTCCCACACACGGGAGCAGTGTCTCTCTCAGTACAAAAGGCGGAAAACGCATGACAGGAGAGTCATAAGAGAGCACAGCCTTTGGGTCAATACATTAATAAGGGGTCATAGGACAGACTCCCCACTCCACAGCCTGGGGGCTTCCAGCTGAGTTTTATAAAAGCCCTTTAAAAATGCCTGAAAAGCACAAATCCCAGCAACCTCCAGCGGCGCTTGTGTTCGAAAGGCACCAGAATGCTCTCTCCAGTTCCCACCCTTATTTCCTAATACACTGACAGCTACAACAGCCACTCTGCGAGCTCCCGTGGCAAAGGCCGGATCTGCACAGAGAAATGCTGCGAGCTCCTCACCCACCGTGTCACCGTGCGTAGCTCAGAGCAAGGCTCGCGCGTATGCACGTTCTGGACTAGGGCCTGCACTCTTCATTGCCACAAACCGACAGCAGCAAAGCAGCACTTACACCACCAGGGTCTTCTCGTTGGTACGCTGCAAGCAGGTCAGCATCAAAACGGCCGTTTCCTTCCTCTCCAGCACCTTTGAGCACTCGGATTTGAGGCTCTCGCTGCCAAGAGACAGAATTCTGGGTTGAGAAGGTTTTCCTCGAGCAGCCTCATCTCCTCCACATTTTCTATAGAGCTAGTCTGTGTAATGCAACTGAACTTCCCTCTGACCTCTCTACCATGTCAAACGTATGCCTGATGGTTTCCTTTCACTGTTCGTGAAGACCAGGGGTGGAAAGTGCTTGTTAGAGCATAGTTCTCATCTACCCGATACTGAGGCCCAGTGTGCTGTATATACCTATAGGGAGAGTCAGTCCCTCCCCAGATAGCTGAAAGCCCAAATAGGCAAGACCCTGCACCAGCACTTTAATACTGGGATATTCATTAGCATGCCCAGAAGTGAACTGAGAACTTTTGACCCAACAGGAACCGGCCGTGAGAACACAGTGCCCGAGATGCCATTTGAAACGCCACTGGAATAAAACTCTGAAGGGAGAAGTATGCAGGTGGGTCTAACCCTCGTCCCACCCCTGCCCCCACCCTCAGTCCCTACAGCTGAAAGAAGAGCTTTAATTGCTTTCTGTTCAACACATAACATTACATACACACTTGACCGATGTTGCAAAGCCTTGGCGCCTACACAGCAGCTCTGCAGGGCTTGGAACGTGCCTGGAGCATCCTGCTGGTTGCAACGCATTCAAGTGATGCTTGAACATAAGACGTTACTACACAAAGGCAAAAGAAACCAAATGGCTCCTACTGCCCTGTACTTACACCACACAGTGAAGCCCCCCCAGGATAAACTCTTGACATTTCAGAAGCGACCGGGCTATCCTCAGCGTCTGGTGAACTGCACCGAGGACACCCTGGAATGCAAAACAGCCCCCTACGCTGAGTGCTCGGGAGCTCGCACGCGCCATGTCCAATCCCTCCGTCTGCCCAAAGCAGGAGCCCCACACGTACCTTTGCTATGCTGCAGTCAGCTATGACATCAACCTTCGGGACAAACTTTGGGAAGTCGTGCGCCGCTGAAAGCAGAGACGGTGCTTAGGCCTTCATGCCTAGATTGACCGTGTCACCAGCAGCCACAGCCAGGCTGAGCATCCAGCCACGTTAGCGTGATTAGCAGAAACGTTCGCTTGCCGCTCTATTTCAGCGAATCAACACTGACATCTTGTGCTCATTTCGGTGAACCACAGGTCCTGCACCCTCCCCTGCCCCACCACAAAAGGCCTCTTCCTCTCTACTGCTTTTTGCTCTAATCATCTGCACCGCTGCAGTGAGGATGCAAAAGAAACACTCACAGCCTCCGTCTCATGGGCACGCATTGCAAGCGTGACCATACATGTGACATATGCAAGTCGGAAAATTAGCTCACAGAAACTCAGCTGGCTGCCCAGGAAACACAAGGGTACATCTTACAAGCTAACTGTACTCACGATCTCTGTATCTCACTCCTATGGGATCCTCTGTTTCAGTGCTCAGCAAAGTCAGAGGGCTATTTTTGGTGGTCCTGGAGAAATTTTGGGCTTGGAGGTTGGGGTCCAAGTCATATGGGTAACCTTCAAAAAAGTATTCTTGATGGTGAGGGGCTGTATTTGTTTGCCTGAAGACAGCATCTAAAAATATGTTTGTACTAAGACAAAAAAAGAGGAAGGGAAATGAGATGAGGTCATCAGCACCCAAGATGTCTTCAGCCCCCCCAAATCCTAATCTTAGCCATTCACCAAGGGCAATTCAGCTGAGGTCCAGCAGCATGCAGCATTGTTAGGTCACCTCCATATATTCGTTCATATTCCCACTGCCCCAGCGCAGCCTGGGGCCTTTCACCTCAAAGCAGTGTGGGTCTGACGCAGGACCCAGTGAAATCAGTAGCAGTGTTTCCATTGACCTCACCAGGGTTGGATCATGCCCAGCATAAAGCAAACACACACCCTAAAATTGCTTCCTCCTCCGCTGAAATGCAGCCACCATTGGAGAGGGCGGTAGTCGGGCAGGGGACAGCACTGAAAAACTACTTCCAGATAACGTGAGTCCACAAACAGAGCCTGGCTTGGATGTGCGGGCCTGGAACCGAGCTTTTCCAGCAGGTTTGGCCAAGGTGCATAGAGAACAGGGATCTGCCCTTCAAGTCTCTGCAACAAGCCTCTAAGGAAACTCTGGGCTGGGCTGTAGGACTGTGGGGCTCCGCTCCCAGATCTTCCCCAACCAGGCCTTCCCTGCAGGGTGACGGGGCCCTTACGTGTTGTGGGAGTGGATGAAGACCCGGTGCACGCTGGCTTGCGACAAGGAGAAGACATCGAACACTATCCTCTGCAGGATGTCACTGGTTTCTGCGAAAAACTGATCGAAGCCCCAACATTTTTCCTGATCAACTTCCAGGATGTTGGCCAGGATCGGGACAAGCTGGCTCTTCAGCCCCCTAAATGGGCAGGAAAGATGAACAAGGAAGATTTACCTGCACGAACACACACGTGTGTGTTGAAGGCAGGCAGCAAGAGTCAGTAAAAGGACCCTGGACTGGAGACCTGGCCAAGCTCTGCCACTGATGTCCCAGTGACCTTGGGCAAATCATTTCCCCTTCCCTGCCCAGTTTGCCCATCTGTCAAACGCAGATGACGCTACAAACTGCTTTTAGGAAAAGGTTTCAACACATGCAGATGATGTCTACCATGTCCCCCCAGGGGCCTGATCCTGATCCAACTCCTGCTGCTGTCCACGGCAGCCCTTCCAGCCAGGGCACGAGGAAGCTGAATCCAGACTTGTAAGAACAAGTTGTGCAATTGTGCAACATTTGCTCTACACTTTCTGGCACAGCTGAAAAGTTCCCCAAGATGAGCCTGCCGCAATCTGTAGCTTGTGCTCTGTCATTAGGGATTCACTCGGTGTGCTCACCACAGCCCCCGACATTGTTCATCCCACATCCATGGGCTTGGCACATGCATGTCCCCACATGCTCCATTACCACTTGGACTCTGCAAACGAATGAAACCCAGAGAGCTGGTTTTCCCTAATCTCCACTCTGAAAGGCTTGAGATTAAACAGTCACTGATCAGGCTCACAGGCAGGAAGAGGGAGAGTGAATATGAACCTCTTTGGTATCCTTGAACCCTCACCTTATAGCATTGGATATGGATGGGAGGGAAGGGCTCTGCACCAGGTTAAGCAAGACAGCGAGGCCTCAGAACCACCGATAGCCAAGTGGTTAGGGCACATCCCTTCCCCCACAAGAATTGAGACGTTTTTCCTAACAGATAAAACTTGCTTTGGGTGAATCAATGCCTTTTCTGTTGGGGAAAAAAAAATGTCTCGTAAGAAAACTCCCAACCAGTCTAACCACTCTGGGTGCTCAATGCTGGGGCATGCTCAAATTTAGAACAAGGCACAGAAGGGAAAATGCACTGAGGAAGTGGAGAGTTATGCTACCCAAGACCAACTGCACTCCCCCAGAGACAGCTTGGAGACCTCTCGCAGCACACATACATATTTCATATCTCATTTGTGGTAGTTTAATTTCATTCTTCCCTCTGGAAGGCACTATATGAAAGGAGCACGACCAGGGGAAAGGTGTGGATAGCATACCTACACCCCCTTGAATTGGGCATCTTGAGAGCAGGCCGTAATCAGATGCTTTTCTCTGATACAAGACAGGATTTCTGTGCCTAAGTCACTGGCTGGTTTGATCTTGTATATCAAGAACAGGAGGGGCTCTTAGAAAGGAGACGCTACAGGTCTTCCCACTGGCGCCCTGACTCCATCTCCTCAAATACTCACGCAGAGAGCTGGCACGTGGCAGGCAGCTCGTAGCTCCACTCGATGGCCCCATTCTCCTGCCTCTGGACACCTGAGATTGCTCCAGCAGGTTTCTGGGTTGTTATTTTATACCTACCAAAAACAAAATTACATTTCTCTTCATTTGGGCAAATGGGCCAGCGACCTCCTGCTTGTGCATTCCTGTTGCCAGGCTTGGCAAATGCAACGGTTAACGCCCAGGGGGCAGAGACAGGATGTAGCACGGATCAGCGGAAGAGAAAGCCAGACTTTCCAGGGAGGAATTTCCATCTAGAGAACCAGACTTGCAATCAAAAACAAAGAGATGCCCAGATCACGCATGGACAACCAAGCCAATCAGCACAAGCAAGAGGCCAGGCATGCTAACGAGGCAGCTACCAACTACCTAACTGAGGGCCCAGTCAACACCAACGTGCTCCTTGACTAGGCTCCTCCGGAGGCCTAGGTGTCCGACAACCCAGTGCTACGGGGATATGGCAAAGATGGTCAATGGCAGGACCGCCAAGAGAGAGCCAGTCCAGCAAAATCTTCAGTACCCAAATATGTTGCATTCTGTTTGGTTCTGGGAGGCCTCAGCTTATGGCCTTAAGTTATAAATGAGCTAAGGTGAATAACGCTGAACAGTCACTTCCACGTTGGTAACAGCAGCACAGCGCAGAGCATGTAGCTAAAATGGCAGGCCTGTGCCACGGGTATCAGCAGGCATCCAAGGCCAAAACAAAACCAGGGACAAAACCAGGACTAGGAAAAAGATTCACGGACGGGGAGGCGCTGGCAGAGCTGCAGGGTGTCCTCAGGGCAGGAGATGCGGCAGAACCGGAGCGAGGCGCGCAGGCTGGGTCGAGGCACGGCACCACGTTAGCAGCTCAGCGGCAGGTCAGGATGGGGGGGGCGTTGTTAGAGCTACACTAAACACGCAAGCTGGTTCCCGAGCGCTCGTCCACGCCACGCTCCTCAAGCTGAGGCGCAACTACATTTACCTCGGGCACTGCCCTCTCAACAGATCTACCTACATGATTTCTTTGTTTCTGCGAGGTCCTCCGAAAGGGATGAAGGGGAGGCTGCCTGCGGCAGCGTGGTAAAAGGTCACCCCGATACTCCACAGATCTACAGTCACCCCATACGCCTTCTGCTGGGGTTTTCTCAGAACTGCTCGTTCATACATGTCTGGATGCTAATGGGATGAAGCAGAGGAAAGGCAGCGTAAGTGAATCCACTTGGATCAGCAATGGAGGCCAAGGTTTCAGAGCTGGCTAGTAAGAACGGGTGTCCTACCCAAGGGGTCAAAAAGGGCCCCATCTTTCGCAGCATGCTGAGGATGGGAGCCAGTAATTTGAGGCACCGCAAATCACTCTCCACTTTTGAAAACCTTGGCTACAGAAAGTGAACCAGGAAAGGAATTTCTGCAATCAAAGTACAGGGAGACAGAGAGGGGCCCACGATTCGGCATGGCTGGAGCGCTGCACTGGGACTCAAGGGCCTGGATTCTCTTCCCCGCTCCCCCGTAGACCTGGCAGGTCGTGGAGATTGAGCTGCTGCTCCTCTGGGCTTATCTCCCCATCTGCAATGCTGGTCTCCCCGGGAAGCTTCCCAATACCCAAGGAGTATGCATGGAAGCGAGGTGCCACA